ATGGCAGCAGGGGAGGGGTGGGGTGGTAAGGTAGAGAGCAGTGGCAGCTCCACATCAGCAGCGGCTGCCTCAGTCTGCAGTCGATGATGATGAGTAGCTTTCTTCACCAGCGCAGTGAGGAAACTACTAACCAGCCGAGCAAGAGCAGCACAGCAGCATCAGGTGTGGACCTCTGGAGCAGGACCTCAAACAACAGGCTCGGGCCTACTTGGACAGCACCCTGCCAACCGAGGTAGACAATCCCCTTGACTACTGGGCAACGAAACTTGACCTTTGGCCCCAACTAGCTGAATTTTGCCCTTGAAAGGCTGTCATTGCCCGGAGTCCAGTAGCGTGGCATCGGAGCGCAGTGTTTTAGTGCTGGCAGGAGGTATTGTAACTCCGCGTGAGGACCACGACACGACTGTCCACGCCAAAGTGTGGAGAGACTCACGTTTGTGAAAATGAATCAGGCGTGGATTAGTCTGGATTTCAAACCACCAGTTCCTGACACAACTGACTAAATCCCGCCATGAATCATGCCCCAAACATGTTATTATTTTTAACATAGGCCTCTTTATGGCCTTCAATTTATAAGCTGCTTACCGCTTCGCCACTCTGGCCATGGGGCCCCTGTACCCGCCTCCTCCTCTTGCTGCTGCCATGTCCAGATTTAGTGTGTCATGGGTCCCTGTACGCTGGCCTCCCATTGCTGCTGGAACTTCATCGCCAGACAACTCTGCCATGTGCCACTTTTCAGGTCTCCTTACAACTGTTGGTGGGGATCCATTTTTGTGATAGGGTGCTGTATGGGCCTTCCATTGCTGCTGCCCAATCATCTCAACCGCCACCCTGCGCCATGTGCCTCTGTCGTCTGCTCACGCTGCTGACGGCTTCCGAGCCGCTTTTTAAAAAATGCCGAGGCCTGTGTTTGGCTTCCGAATACTGCTAAGGCATCCACACCACCCGCCAGCTCCATGCGCTTGTCAGAGTGTCACCAGGGGACGTGCGTCTCCCCCACACTCTGCTGACCTCTCCGCTTTTTAACCTAGGCCTGTGTATGTGGCTTCAGAATAATGCTGCCCTGAGTGGACAAACCACCGCCATACCCTGCGCCATGTAGCGCCTCTGTCGTCTGCTCACAGCGGCTGCTGCCAGGTCCCTATTCAATACTGATTCATGGGCCCCCTGTACCGCGCTTCTCCTCATGAACCTGGTTCAGCCGGGTTTGCAATCACTATAAAAAGAAATCACGTAAAGATCCAACCGATGACAAATCGCAGGCTACCCGTTCAGTGTGATGATTGCGCATTAAGCTCCACTGACACCAAAGGGCAGCACAGACCGGTTTAATTAACCTAAGGCCGTACGTATCGCTCAAGCATGGGCTGAGAACAAAACCAGTCTCTACCACAAATTTGGACCCATGACCTGCCCATGTGTCTCGTAATGTAAGATTGCAACGGAGCCTAGAGTTCTTATTTGGAATTAACGCTGAAGGACTTTTAAAAACCTAGGCCTGTGTATTGCCTCCAATTTGAGAGCTGCTTCTGCATTGCGACGCCACGTCTGCCATTGGACTCATTGCTAGTCACGTCTCCATGGTCCTCGAGCAGGCTCTGCTGCCAGGTGGGGACTTTTTTAACATAGGCCTCTGGCATGGGCCTTCAATTTTAGCTGCTTAGTGCAAATTATACTCCGCCCGCGCACTCTGCCATGGGCCCCTGTAACCCGCCTCCTCATGCTGCTGCCAGGTACCCAGTAATCTGTCCATGGGCCCCTGTAATACCCCGCCCTCCGCCTCCTCATGCTGCTGCCAAGGTCCAGATGTGTGTCATGGTCCCTGTACGAGCCTCCCATTGCTGCTGTCTCCATCGCCACACTCTGCCATGTGCCACTTTCAGGTCTCCTCTACAACCACTGCTGGAGGTTCCATTTTGTCCATAGGGTGTGCTGTGGCCTCCCATTGCTGCTGCCGTCCACCGCCACCCTGCGCCATGTGCCCTGTCGTCTGCTCACAGCTAGCCATGCTGTCACGGCTTTCCGCTTTTCTTAAAACCGAGGCCTGTGTTTGGCCTTCCCGCGAATACTGCTGCAACCACCGCCCACCCTGCGCCATGTGCCTCTGTCGTCTGCTCACGCATGCTGACCGTACGTACCCCCATGTGCGCTTTTTAACCTAGTCCTGTGTATGTCTTCCGAATTACTGCTGCCTCCACACCGCCACACTCTGTGCCATGTGCCACTTTCAGGTCTCCTTACACTGTATGGTGGGTTTTTCCATTTTGTGATAGGGTGCTAGTATTACGCCTTCCCATTGCTTGCTGCCACCACCGCCACCCTGCGCCATGTGCCTCTGTCCGTCTGCTCACATGCTGCTGACGGCTATCCGTAATACCGCTTATTTAACCGAGACCTGCTGGTTTTGGCTTCCGAATACTGCTGTGCATCCACCGCCACCCCTGCCACCCTTCGCCATTTGCTGCTGCTTCGTCACTGCTCACTCCTTATCTCATTCCGACGGCCTCCGCTTTTTAAACCTAGGCCTGTCTGTAATTGGCTTATGCCCGAATACTGCTGCCTCCCCCACCTCCAGACCCCTGCGCCCATGTGCCCATGTCGGTCTGCTCACGCTGCTGCAACATCGCCAAGCACGGCCATGTGCCACTTTTCAGGTCTGTCCACTTTTAACCGAGGGCCTGTGTTTTTGAGCTTCCCGAATACTGCTCGCATCCACCGCGTACCCGCTCCACATGCTGCTGCCCAGGCCCTTAATCTGTCATGGGGCCCCAGAAAAACCTGTACCGCCTACCATCCCATCTCATGCTGTCTGCCAGGTCCAGACATAGTGTGTGTCATGGGTCCCTGTACTGCCTCCCATTGCTGCTGTCTCCATGTCTCCAATCGCCACACTCTGCCAAGTGCCCACTTTTCAAGGTCTCCTCACACTGCTGTGGGTATCCATTTTCTGTCATAGGGTGCTGTATGGCCTCCCATTGCTGCTGCTGCCTCCACCGCCACAAGCTGTGGCTCCACACTCTGGTTTTGTAAGGCCCCGTGACTGCCCAAAAGAAGTGAGTGAAGTGTGCGGTGATTCTAAGATCGACGGCAACTCATCTTGCATGTCAGATACGGTGTAAAACTGATCTGACTGACAGTATTAGTTCTCCTTCCCCCCAGGCAGACTCCAAGGGCATTTAAATTAAAGGTACAGTGTTCACCTGCACTAATATAAAGGCTCTCTGACAGCCTAGGAAAACACCCTTTTTATAAAGTTAAATTCGCAGCGCAAATAATTCGCCCTCGAATCGAATTTATATCCGCGAATTCGGGCGAATCAGCCGAATCCGAATTTTGAATAATTCGCTCATCTCTACTGACTACGTCACATTCTGTAGCAAAGTGTCCATTTCTTCTCAGTGATTGGTCACATGAAAAGAGAGAAACAAATATTAACTCGACAAATGTGAGCGGTGGACCTCACTTCTCTCGGAGATACTGTAGATGTTTGTGTCTAGTAATGTATCGCACAGGGAAATCGTGTAAGCAAGGACAGACGAACAGGGTGATATAGATTATAGGAAAACCACAGTAATATAACCCACCAAGAGTCGTGAGAAACCCAGAGAGGTACTTGTCCCAACAATCAATGTAATCATTGCTTCAATACCAATATATGGATATCAATTGTAGTTACCAAGTTAAGAAAGCAATAAACACTAGTAAGCAGAGGGGCAGACTGACATCCTCATGCGGGCCCCCCGGCAATAGGGTATCCATGGGGCCCCCTGTGTCCTTGCCCAAACTCAAAAAAGCCTAATGAAAAAGGTACCAGGGGCGTCTCATGGGGCCCCCTACTGACCCCGGGCCCCCTCAGGCAGTGCCCAAGGAATCCAAATGTGACAGTCCAACCCCTGCTTGTATTAAAACATATGCAAGAGTAGAAACCATGACAATTTTTATTAAAATGCATTTATTATAAGCGTTACTGTATATAAGTAGGTGCCACATCAATTTTTACGCAGCACTTTACCTCTATATTCATCTAACAATAAATAATATAATATTAATTTATAGAGAGAGAGAGGATGAGAGAGTCAGAGAGAGACAGAGAGCGAGAGAGAGAGCAGATCGATTGGAAAACTCCCAGGATCATGTAGCCCTCCTCTCCCTCTTTCTATTTGGAAACTGTATTGTTGCTGTGTTGTCTCCCGTTATATTGTAAACAATAGCTGAGCAAACTGTTGGCCTCAATAAAAATCGCCTGTAAATATAATAATAATATATACACAGCTCTAACTGAATCAACAACGCTGTTTCTGCTTCCAGCAGTGAAATTCAATTATGCAATAATAAACATTTGTCCCACTAGATGGAGCCTGAAAAATATTTGCTGTGTTTACAGAAACTATAGACTGTTTTGAAATGATCCAGTGTTCCTTAAACCCACAACAGTAACAATACAGTCTGTATATGCAGTAAAGCATGCTTGTTATACTCGCTGTGGAACCTAAGGGGTCAGTCCACTGCATTGTGTAAAAAGGCTGTTTCATCCTGTCTTCTCTGATCCTCCCCTTCTTCTACTGTCCCAATTCCTTTGCTGATAGTACAGAGCTCTAGGAGTCAGTCTGCACATGCTCAGCTTAGTGTGTATAGCTAGAGAGGTTTTTTTTTTCTGGGAGGGTACCTGTGATGGCACAGGGTCAATCAGCAACTGTCCAGTACAGTGGGTCATTGGGGTCATGCAACAGTCTCATAGGACAATCAGCAGAGAATGAAAACTCCTACAAGCTTTACCCAGTGCTCTGCTGGACACTGATAGAATCACAAGACTGCTAATACTGCTGATGAGAAGAAAAGGTATTTAGCAGTTTATATTGTACTAAAATAATTGAATTTCCATGATCTTTGTACTGTGGGAGACCAGATATAGTGAATGCGGGTCCAGGGCCAGACCAGATATAGTGAATGCAGGGTCCCGGGTAGACCAGATATAGTGAATGCAGGGTCTGGGGAGAGCGGATATGGTGAATGCAGGGTCCGGGGAGACCAATATATAGTGAATGCGGAGTCCGGGTGAGACCGGATATAGTGAATGCGGGGTCTGGGGAGAGCGCGATATAGTGAATGCAGGGTCTGGGGAGAGCGGATACAGTGAATGCGGGGTCCCGGGGTGATTCCCCTCACTGACACCAATGATGGGGCACTATTCTTCTCACTGAACCTACAGTGGGGCACTACAATCCTCTCACTGACACCAATGATGGGACACTATCCCTGTCACTGACACCAATGATGGTGACAGTATTCCTCTCACTAACACAAATGATGGGGCGCTATTCTCATTGATTACAATGATGGGGCACTATTCTTATCACTGACAACCATCGATGGGGCACTATTCTCACTGAAACCAATGAATGAAGACAGTATTCCTGTCACTTAGACACCAATGGTTTTTGGGACACTATTCTCATTGATAGCAATGAGTGGCACTATTCTTCTTACTGACACCATCGATGGGGCACTATTCCTCTTATGGACACCAACAATAGGGTGTTTTTACTGATACCAGGAAATTTTATACTCCCACTGGCCACAGTCCAGTCCCTTTAAAATCTGAAGGATAGTAAATTTTGGTCCTTTGTTTAGGAAGTTTAGAGATCGCTCTGCCAAAGAATGGCTGTGCAATAAAACTGCATGCGATATCAAATAAAAGTTCATTCAATAAACAAACTTCTATTTCCTAAGTGCTCAGCAGTGTTTGTCAACCTCCCAAAGTAAAAATTTACTGAAAATACGCCAAAAATTTTACTAACAGTGCCAATTTTTTTGCTGGCAAAAATCATGAAATTTACTGACAGAACCACATTTTTTTTTTACTGGACACTTTAAAAGAGAGTACATAAAATTACTGTTTTCAGTTCAACTGTGCAAATATCAATATTTAGGTTACAAACATGTAGCTAGTCTGCAGGATTCCCATTTACAGTGCAAGGGAGAACTGTCCAGACCCTGATGTAAAGGAAAAATCTAAGGATTTCTCTAGTGTAAATGGAAACTCTGATTGTAACGGGGTCACTCTGATCACCCTTACATAGGAGTTCACAGAGTTCCCCTCACATCAGACTCCACAGAGTTCCCCTTTAAACCATCACAGTCAACAAAGTTCTCCCTTACATCAGAGCCCACAGAGTGCCCCTTTGCATCAGGGTCAGCAGTGTTCCCCCATGCACGTAAGGGGGAATTCCTGCAGATTCTGATTGTAAGGGGGAATGGTAAGGGAGAGTTACTGATTTAAGAGTTTCCTTTTATATTAGTGTTCTCATTCCCCCTTACATTAGTGACCCCTTACCCATAGACTTTGTATGGCCACTGGAGGCTGGAGCTGCCTGCCACTGACCTCACCACCTTCTATTGGTGGCTCGTGTGCAGGGCAGCCAGGCAACCGTCCTCTGGGCTGCTCCTCATCATCACCACCTCTGTCCTCTTCTCCAAGTTTCTCATCCAGAGTCCTCCATGTCCAGTCCTCCAGTGAGTTTAGTGACAGTCCTCGGCCGAGGCAAACGGTGGACCTTAATCTCCGAGTCCATCACTTATCTCTGCACCCCCCGCCCCCCCTCATTCCATTACTCACTTCTGTACCCCCAATCCATCACTTATCTCTACAAAACCCCCCCCCCCTCCCATTCCATTACTCACCTCTGTATCCCCAATCCATCACTTATCTCTACACCCCCCCCACAAACCATTCCATTTACCCCCCACCTCTGTACCCTTTCCAATCCATCACTTATCTCTACCCCCCCCCCATTCCATTACTCACCTCTGTACCCCCAAATCCATCACTTATCTCTGCACCCCCCCACCCCCCCCATTCCATTACTCACCTCTGTACCTCCAATCCATCACTTATCTCTGCACCCCCATTCCCATTAATCACTTCTGTACCCCAATCCATCACTTAATCTGCAACCCCCCCATTCCATTACTCACCTCTGTACCCCAATCCATCACTTACCTCTGCACCCCCCATTCCATTACTCACCTATGTACCCCCAATCCATCACTATATCTCTGCACCCCCCCCATTCCATTACTCACCTCTGTACCCCCAATCCATCAATTATTTCTGCAGCCCCCCCCATACCATTACTCACCTCTGTAAACCCCAATCCATGACTTATCTCTACAACCCCCCCCCCATTCCATTACGTCACCCTCTGTATCCCCAATCCATCACTTATCTCTCATCACCCCCCCATTCCATTACTCACCTCTGTACCCTCAATCCATCACTTATCCCTGCAACCCCCCCCCCCCCCCCATTCCATTACTCACCTCTCTGTACCCACAATCCATCACTTATCTCTGCAACCCCCCCCTCCCCATTCCATTACTCACCTCTGTACCTCCAATCCATCACTTATCTCTGCACCCCCCCATTCCATTACTCACCTCTGTACCCCTCAATCCATCACTTATCTCTGCACCCCCCCCCCATTCCATTACTCACCTCTGTACCCCCCCAATCCATCACTTATCTCTGCACCCCCCCCCCATTCCATTACTCACGTCTGTACCCTCAATCCATCACTTATCTCTGCAACCACCCCCCCCCGCCATTCCATTACTCACCTCTGTACCCCCAATCCAATCACTTATCTCTGCACCCCCCCATTCCATTACTCACCTCTGTATCCCCAATCCATCACTTATCTCTGAATCCCCCCCATTCCATTACTCACCTCTGTACCCTCAATCCATCACTTATCTCTACCCCCCCCCCATTCCATTACTCACCTCTGTACCCTCAATCCATCACTTATCTCTGAATCCCCCCCATTCCATTACTCACCTCTGTACCCCCCAATCCATCACTTATCTCTGCACCCCCCCCATTCCATTACTCACCTCTGTACCTCCAATCCATCACTTATCTCTGCACCCCCCATTCCATTAATCACTTCTGTACCCCCAATCCATCACTTATCTCTGCACCCCCCCATTCCATTACTCACCTCTGTACCCTCAATCCATCACTTACCTCTGCACCCCCCCCATTTCCCATTACTCACCTATGTACCCCCAATCCATCACTTATTCTCTGCACCCCCCCCATTCCATTACTCACACTCTATACCCCAAATCCATCAATTATCTCTGCACCCCCCGCACCCCCCCCCCCACCCCCCATACCATTACTCACCTCTGTAACCCCAATCCATGACTTATCTCTACACCCCCCCCCCCCCATTCCATTACTCACCTCTGTATCCCCAATCCATCACTTATCTCTGCACCCCCCCCATTCCATTACTCACCTCTGTACCCTCAATCCATCACTTATCTCTGCACCCCCCCCATTCCATTACTCACCCTCTGTACCCTCCAATCCATCACTTATCTCTGCAACCCCCCCCCCCCCCATTCCATTACTCACCTCTGTACCTCCAATCCATCACTTATCTCTGCACCCCCCCATTCCATTACTCACCTCTGTACCCTCAATCCATCACTTATCTCTCTGCACCCCCCCATTCCATTACTCACCTCTGTACCCCCAATCCATCACTTATCTCTGCACCCCCCCATTCCATTACTCACCTTCCCTTAATGTACCTCAATCCATCACTTATCTCTGCACCCCCCCCCCCATTCCCATTACTCACCTCTGTACCCTCAATCCATCACTTATCTCTGCACCCCCTCATTCCATTACTCACAGTCTGTACCCCTCAATCTATCACTTTATCTCTGCACCCCCCCATTCCATTACTCACTCTCTGTTACTGTACCCCCAATCCATCACTTATCTCTGCACCCCCCCCATTCCATTACTCACCCACTCTTTACCTCCAATCCATCACTTATCTCTGCACCCCCCCCATTTCCATTACTCACCTCTGTACCCCCAATCCATCACTTATCTCTGCACCTCCCCATTCCATTACTCACCTCTGTACCCCCAATCCATCACTTATCTCTGCAACCCCCCCATTCCATTACTCACCTCTGTATCCCCAATCAATCGCTTATCTCTGCACCCCCCCATTCCATTACTCACCTCTGTACCCCCCAATCCATCACTTATCTCTCTGCACCCCCCCGTTCCATTACTCACCTCTGTACCCCCAATCCATCCATCTTATCTCTGCAACCCCCCCATTCCACCACTCATCTTCTATAACTACCCCCTCCCTTATTCCAACACTGACCTCTAGAGGCATCTTCCCATCAGTTGGGGGTGCGGGGTCTGGGCAGACCAGATATAGTGAATGCAGGGTCCCGGGAGACCGGATATAGTGAATGCGGGGTCTGGGGAGAGCGGATATAGTGAATGCAGGGTCTGGGGAGAGCGGATACAGTGAATGCGGGGTCCGGGGTGATTCCCCTCACTGACACCAATGATGGGGCACTATTCTTCTCACTGACACCTACAGTGGGGCACTACACCTCTCACTGACACCAATGATGGGACACTATCCCTGTCACTGACACCAATGATGGGACAGTATTCCTCTCACTAACACAAATGATGGGGCGCTATTCTCATTGATTACAATGATGGGGCACTATTCTTATCACTGACACCATCGATGGGGCACTATTCTCACTGAAACCAATGATGAGACAGTATTCCTGTCACTGACACCAATGGTGGGACACTATTCTCATTGATAGCAATGATGTGGCACTATTCTTCTTACTGACACCATCGATGGGGCACTATTCCTCTTATGGACACCAACAATAGGGTGTTTTTACTGATACCAGGAAATTTTCTACTCCCACTGGCCACAGTCCAGTCCCTTTAAAATCTGAAGGATAGTAAATTGGTCCTTTGTTTAGGAAGTTTAGAGATCGCTCTGCCAAAGAATGGCTGTGCAATAAAACTGCATGCGATATCAAATAAAGTTCATTCAATAAACAAACTTCTATTTCCTAAGTGCTCAGCAGTGTTGTCAACCTCCCAAAGTAAAATTTACTGAAAATACGCCAAAAATTTACTAACAGTGCCAATTTTTTTTGCTGGCAAAAATCATGAAATTTACTGACAGAACCACATTTTTTACTGACACTTTAAAAGAGTACATAAAATTACTGTTTTCAGTTCAACTGTGCAAATATCAATATTTAGGTTACAAACATGTAGCTAGTCTGCAGGATTCCCATTTACAGTGCAAGGGAGAACTGTCCAGACCCTGATGTAAAGGAAAAATCTAAGGATTCTAGTGTAAAGGGAAACTCTGATGTAACGGGGTCTCTGATCACCCTTACATAGGAGTTCACAGAGTTCCCCCTCACATCAGACTCCACAGAGTTTCCCCTTTACATCACAGTCAACAAAGTTCTCTCCTTACATCAGAGCCCACAGAGTGCCCCTTTGCATCAGGGTCAGCAGTGTTCCCCCATGCACGTAAGGGGGAATCCTGCAGATTCTGATGTAAGGGGGAATGGTAAGGGAGAGTTACTGATTTAAGAGGTTTCTTTTATATTAGTGTTCTCATTCCCCCTTACATTAGTGACCCCTTACCCATAGACTTTGTATGGCCACTGGAGGCTGGAGCTGCCTGCCACTGACCTCTTCTATTGGTGGCTCGTGTGCAGGGCAGCCAGGCACCGTCCTCTGGGCTGCTCCTCTCATCACCACCTCTGTCCTCTTCTCCAAGTTCTCATCCAGAGTCCTCCATGTCCAGTCCTCCAGTGAGTGACAGTCTCGGCCGAGGCAAACGGTGGACCTTATCTCCGAGTCCATCACTTATCTCTGCACCCCCCCATTCCATTACTCACCTCTGTATCCCCAATCCATCACTTATCTCTGAATCCCCCCCCATTCCATTACTCACCTCTGTACCCTCAATCCATCACTTATCTCTACCCCCCCCCCCCCCCCTCTGCATTCCATTACTCACCTCTGTACCCTCAATCCATCACTTATCTCTGAATCCCCCCCCCCCCATTACTCACCTCTGTACCCCCAATCCATCACTTATCTCTGCACCCCCCCATTCCATTACTCACCTCTGTACCTCCAATCCATCACTTATCTCTGCACCCCCCATTCCATTAATCACTTCTGTACCCCCAATCCATCACTTATCTCTGCACCCCCCCATTCCATTACTCACCTCTGTACCCTCAACTCCATCACTCACCTACCCTCTGCACCCCCCCATTCCATTACTCACCTATGTACCCCCAATCCATCACTTATCTCTGCACCCCCCCCCTCATTTCCATTACTCCATTACTCCACCTCTGTATCTCTCACCCCAAACTCCATCAATTCATTATCTCTGCACCCCCCCCCCCCCCCCCCCATACCATTACTCACCTCTGTAACCCCAATCCATGACTTATCTCTACACCCCCCCCCCCCCCATTTTACCATTACTCACCTCTGTATCCCCAATCCCATCACTTATCTCTGCACCCCCCCCCCCCCATTCCATTACTCACCTCTGTACCCTCAATCCATCACTTATCTCTGCACCCCCCCATTCCATTACTCACCTCTGTACCCTCAATCCATCACTTATCTCTGCAACCCCCCCCCCCCCCCATTCCATTACTCACCTCTGTACCTCCAATCCATCACTTATCTCTGCACCCCCCCATTCCATTACTCACCTCTGTACCCTCAATCCATCACTTATCTCTGCACCCCCCATTCCATTACTCACCTCTGTACCCCCAATCCATCACTTATCTCTGCACCCCCCCATTCCATTACTCACGTCTGTACCCTCAATCCATCACTTATCTCTGCACCCCCCCCCCCCATTCCATTACTCACCTCTGTACCCTCAATCCATCACTTATCTCTGCACCCCCTCATTACCATTACTCACGTCTGTACCCTCAATCTATCACTTATCTCTGCACCACCCCCCATTCCATTACTCACCTCTGTACCCCCAATCCATCACTTATCTCTGCACCCCCCCCATTCCATTACTCACCTCTTTACCTCCAATCCATCACTTATCTCTGCACCCCCCCCATTCCATTACTCACCTCTGTACCCCCAATCCATCACTTATCTCTGCACCTCCCCATTCCATTACTCACCTCTGTACCCCCAATCCATCACTTATCTCTGCACCCCCCATTCCATTACTCACCTCTGTATCCCCAATCAATCGCTTATCTCTGCACCCCCCCATTCCATTACTCACCTCTGTACCCCCAATCCATCACTTATCTCTGCACCCCCCCGTTCCATTACTCACCTCTGTACCCCCAATCCATCACTTATCTCTGCACCCCCCCATTCCACCACTCATCTCTATAACTACCCCTCCCTTATTCCAACACTGACCTCTAGAGGCATCTTCCCATCAGTTGGGGGTCTCTCTCCCCCTCCCCCTCCATGGACTTTCACTGCCCTCCCTTCTCTCCCCTGTCATCTCACCCCAACAAAGTGTACAGAAGGATACGAAATAGTTAAAATACTGCAAAATACCTCCCAACACCCACCCTGTCCTCATACAGTACAGCAGATATATTCCATCATCTCCATCCTCTATTCTATCATCATCTCTCTATCCTATGTGTGTATTCTACAAACGTCTCCATCCTCTGTATTCCACCATCATCTCCATCCTCTATGTGTATTCTACCATCATCTCCATCCTCTGTATTCTACCATTGTGTGCATCATCTGTATTCTTCTATCGCCACCATCCTCAGTATTTTATCATAATCTCTATTCTCTGTATTCTACCATTGTCTCCATCCTCTGTACTCTACCATCATATCCATCCTATTTATTCTTCCATTGTCTCCATCCTCTGTATTCTACCGTCATCTCCATCCTCTGTATTCTACCATCATCTTCATCCTCTGTATTCTACCATCACCTCCATCCTCTGTATTCTATCATCGTCTACATCATCTGTATTCTTCCATCGCCACCATCCTCAGTATTTTACCATAATCTCCATTCTCTGTATTCTACCATTGTCTCCATCCTCTGTACTCTACCATCATATCCATCCTCTGTATTCTTCCATCGTCTCGTCCATCCTCTGTAATCTACCATCATCTCCATCCTCTGTATTTTACCATCATCTTCATCTTCTGTTTTCTCTACCATCACCCCCATCTTCTATGTATATTCTACCATTATCTCTATCCTCTGTACTCTACCATCGTCTCCATCCTCTGTGTGCATTCTACCATCATCTCCATCCTCTGTACTCTACCATCATCTTCATCTTCTATGTGTATTGTACCATCATCTTTATCCTCTGTATTCTATCATCATCTCCATCCTCTGTATTCTACCATCATCTACATCCTCTGTATTCTACTATCATCTCCATCCTCTGTATTCTATCATCATCTCCATCCTCTGTATTCTATCATTGTCTCTATCCTCTGTATTCTACTATCATCTCCATCCTCTATGTGTATTCTACCATCATCTCCATCCTCTGTAGTCTGTCATTGTCTCCATCCTCTGTAGTCTATCTTCATATCCATCCTCTGTATTCTACCATCCTCTCCATCCTCTGTATTCTACCATTATCTCCATCCTCTGTAGTCTGTCATTGTCTCCATCCTCTGTAGTCTATCTTCATATCCATCCTCTGTATTCTACCATCCTCTCCATCCTCTGTATTCTACCATTATCTCCATCCTCTGTAGTCCGCCATGGTCTCCATCCTCTGTAGTCTACGATCGTCTCCATCCTCTGTAGTCTACCATCATCTCCATCCTCTGTATTCTACCATCGTCTCCACTTACTCCTATCTCATTCATAAAAGGTGCCAAGTGGTGCCATGACGTCACTGCAAGCCTGCCTTCATCCCCCCCGTCCAAGCGAGGCCGAAGCCAGCCCATGTGCAGTTCCGAAGCCAGCCCACGCCCATATATGGGAAGACATTTATGGACAGTTTGTAAATCGGCTGGAATTTCCAAGCTGACTATTATGTTACGGTTGGCGGCCCAGGTGCTCAGGTGCCGTATTCTCACACAAAAAATGTGTTTTATTCTGTGCTCCGGGCCATCGACCAACACCCGCAATGACAAGCCGCAAGACAGCCAGGGGCTTATCTACCACGAGGCAAACAAGGCGTTTGCCTAGGGCGGCAATTTTTAGGGGGGCGACACCCCCCCCCAAAGAAGGGACCTTGTGAGCAGCGGCGGATGCAAGGCCGCCATCAGAGGGGTACCTTCGGTACTCTTTCAGGGGAGTAGGATCGATGTGGGGGAGGGCAGTTGCAGAGCGATGGGGAGAGAGGGAAGAGAGAGACAGGGGGGAGAGAGGGGGAAGAGAGATAGAGAGGTGAGAGAGGGAGGAGAGAGAGGGAACAGAGAGAGAGAGAGGGAATAGAGAGAGGGGGGGGAATAGAGAGAGAGGAAAGAGGGGGAAGAGAGAGGGAGAAGAGAGGGGGGAGAGAGAGTGGAAAGAGAGAGGGGGAAGAGAGAGAGGGAAGAGAGAAAGGGGGAGGGGGAAGATAGAGGGGGAGAGAGAGGGGGGGAAGAGAGAAGGAAGAGAGATAGAGGGATGAGAGAGGGAAGAGAGAGAGGGGGGAAGAAGACAGAGAGAGAGAGAGAGGGGAGGAGAGAGGGGGGGGAGAGTGGGAGGGGGGGAGATAGAGAGGGGGGGAGAGGGGGAGAGGGGAGAAGAGAGAGAGGGAAGAGAGGGATAGAGAGAGGAGGAGAGAGAGGGGAGAGGGGAGAGAGAGAGGGGGGGAGAGAGGGGGGGGAAGAGAGAGGGAGAAGAGAGAGAGAAGGGGGAAGAGAGAGAGGGGAAGATAGGAAGAGGGGGGAGAGGGAAGAGAGGAAGAGGGCTAGAAGAGGGAGAGAGAGGGGGGAAGAGAGAGAGGGAGGGGGGAAGAGAGAGAGGGAAGGAAGGGAAAGAGAGAAGAGAAAGGGGGAGAGAAAGAGAATCATATATACATACACACACTTATTGACTCTCGTTCTCTCATGGGGGGGGGGGGGGGGGGGCACAAAATTTTCTTGTTGCCCAGAGCAGTAGAAAATCTGAATACACCACTGAAGACAGCAACTCGGCAGACAACATACCTTTCTATTTCTAGAAGCATTGGAAACTCCCCAGGTAATAGGCTGGTCTGTAGGACGGCTCTCTGTTCCTTTTTTACTTCACGTCCACAAAAGGACCCAATTATGAGGCCGATTTATTAAAGGCAAATAGACTGTGCACTTTGCAGTTGCTCCAGAGTTTAGTAAATGAGGTAAAGCTTTACTTTACAAAGAATACCCAATCACATGCAGGGAAATTTTTTAAAAATGATTGGATGGCGGCTCATCAACAGAGCTTGTGCTCCTTTATTGAGCTCTGGAGCAACTGTACTTGCAAAGTGCACAGTCTATTTGCCTTTCAATAAATCAGCCCCTATTCCTGCAAGATATGAAAAATTTATAATTTTCAATTACATACAAATTAGGAAGCACAATACAGCATACATACAAACCAGTTTTATTAAGTGTCTATGCTATGATTCAATGATCCCCCGGCAGCCTCATTCATTATATTCCATGTATTATGAGTAGAATCTTGGGGGCAGGGGTTGTTGAGCTCTAACTAGGCTTTCTTTGTTGTAGTTGGGTTACATCACAGTTATCGTACACCTGCTGGAGGTGGAGCCCAGTGAGAGCCGAGACCCACTGGCTGCTGGCTGCATCTATATCAGCCTTTCCCAGCCATTTCAACACAGAGGAACCCTTGAAATAGGTTTCTGGTCCCCAGGAACCTCTTCTAAAAATGACTGGATCTACTGGATCTGTGTGATGGTCAGTGAGAACAATGCTCCTTACACTTGTGGTCATTGGGGAGAATTACGAAATTACAGATAGCGAAAAAGCTCAATGGTGTCAGTGGGAACTTATCTGAGAGGCAGAAATTGTTCATTGCTCAAGGAACCCCTGGCAACCTCTGGAGAAACCCTAGTTGAGGAACCTTTGAAATAGCTTTCCGGTCTTCAGGAACCTCTGCTAAAAATGACTAGATCTACATCTCATGATACCTCTGTGTGATGGTCAGTGGGAAGAATGTTCCTCACACTTGTGGTCATTGAGAAGAATTACCCCCTTACAGATAGCTAAAAAGATCAATGGTGTCAGTGGGAACTTATCTGAGAGGCTGAAATTGTTCATTGCTCAAGGCAACCTGTCAGCCTCTGGAGAAACCCTAGTTGAGGAACCTTTGAAACAGCTTTCCATTCTCTGGGAACCTCTGCTAAAAATGTCTAGATCTACATCTCATGATACCTCTGTGTGATGGTCAGTGGGAAGAATGTTCCTTGCACTTGTGGTCATTGGGAAGAATCGCTTCAGCTAAAAAGATCAGTGGTGTCAGTGGGAACTTACCTGAGAGGCAGAAATTGTTCATTGTTCAAGGCAACCTGGCAACCTCTGGAGGAACCCTAGTTGAGGAACCCTGATCTGTACCATATAACCAGCAGGTCCTTGACAGATGTCATCTGGAAAGGAAGTGTTGTCTCATCTGATCCTCGCCCCCTGGTCCGCAGAGGGGGGGGTCACCTGCAAGAAGACACGTCAAGTGCTCAAGGTTTTCCTCTAGAATATCATCCATGATGCCATCACCTACACCAAGAGGAAGACCGTCACCACCATAGATGTCGTCTATGCTATCAAACAACAGGCACATGCTCTCTATGGATTCAGAGGGTAAATCCTGATAACCTGCCCACCTTCTCATACAAAGGTCTGTTGATTGATCATCTCAATGTACTTTTCTATATTTCTCCTGTTATTAGAATGATTTCCGATCATTATTACAGTTGAAATACTACAACAATGTGGAAGGGATTGCAATGTGTAGCCGGCTAACAATTTTGGAAGGCTTGTACTTGCAATATTATTTGATATTGATTATTATTTATAGCTATATATTGAGTCACATGTTTACTGGAGCACATATTTAGATATCACTTATCTAGGGAAGGTGCAACCAGTTTATTTATATATTTATTTTGATTGTGGGCTGAGGGAGCACTGTCCTTTGGTTGAAGCCACACATTTTAACTAGTTTTCATTTCTTTTTCATCTAAGGGAAAGTGGCCCTGTGATAGCAGGGGATCAGGGGCGGACTGACCATTTGGAAACTCGGGCACTGCCCGAGGGCCCGGGGTCAGTAGGGGGCCCCATGAGATGCCCCTGGTACCTTTTCCATAGGTTTTTTTTAGTTTGGGCAAGGACACAGGGGTCCCATGATCCCCTATTGCCCGGGGGCCCCATGAGTTGTCAGTCCGCCCCTGCACGGGATAATACATATTATTAATCTTCAGTTTGCATTGGACCTGAACATAAAATCTAAATCCAAAAGGCAATATTTCCAGATGAAAAGGGAAGCTTTATAACCCCAGTCTATGAATGTCTCCTGACCCATGTCCCCACTCTTCAACGACTGTCTGCAATCTCTGACTATCTCCTTTACCATGCCTGCAATCTCTGACCATCTTCTGTATTATGTCTGCAGTCTTTAACCATCTCCTTTACCATGCCTGCAGTCTCTGACCATCTCTTGTATCATCTCTGCAGTCCTTGGCCATCTTCTATATTATGTCCACAGTCTCTGACCATCTCCTTTACCATGCCTGCAATCTCTGACCATCTTCTATATTATGTCCACAATCTCTGACCATCTCCTTTACCATGTTTGCAATCTCTGACCGTCTTCTATATTATGTCCATAATCTCTGACCATCTCCTTTACCATGGCTGCAATCTCTGACCATCTTCTATATTATGTCTGCAGTCTTTAACCATCTCCTTTACCATGCCTGCAGTCTCTTACCATCTCTTGTATCATCTCTTCAGTCCTTGAACATCTTCTATAATATGTCTGCAGTCTCTAACCATCTCCTTTACCATACCTGCAGTCTCTGACCATCTCTTGTAGCATCTCTGCAGTCCTTGACCATCTCCTATATTATGTCCACAGTCTCTAACTATCTCTGGTATTCTGTATGCAGTCTCTGACCATCTCCTGTACCATGCCCGCAGTCTCTGACCATCTCTTGTATCATGTCTGCAATCTCTGACCATCTCCTATATAATGTCAAAAGTCCCTGATTATCTCTTGTATCATGTTTGCAGCCCCTGACTATCTCTTGTATCATGTCTGCAGTCTCTTACTATCTCCTGTATCATGTCTGCAGTCTCTGACTGTCTCCTGTATCATATCTGCAGTCTCTGACCATCTCCTGTGTCATGTCTGCAGTCTTTAACCATCTCTTGTATCATCCCATAGTCTTTGACTATATCCTGTTGTGAGTCTGCTGTCTCTGATAATGAATATTCACTGAATTTTATGTGTGACCCATTGGTAATGTTGGGGGACACATGAGCCTCCCCCCTTCCCATATCAAGGAAGACGACATAAGATATCAGTTTAGTGCTCGTTGTATGAGAAGGTGGGTGGCCCTTAAAAGGGCCTTTGGGTAGATGATGTGGGTAGGTGGTATCAGAATTTATCAGGAAATATGGAGAGTGTGCCCCTGTCGTTTGAGAGCATAGGCGATATCCATGGCGGTGACGGTCTTCCTCCTGGCGTACTCGGTGTAGGGGAGGGCATCACAGATGACATTCTGAAGGAAAATCTTGAGCACTCTGCGGATCTCTTCATAGATCAGTCCAGAGATGCGGGTGACACCCGCTTTGCGGGCCAAACGTCGGATGGCATATTTACTGATACCCTGGATGCCCTCCTGGACCACCCTCCTGTGACACCCAGCGCTTCCTTTCCCCAGGCCATTTCCTTTTCTACCACAACCAGACATCGTCAGATGAAGGAAGAGTGAAGGAGGAAGAGCGAAGAACTGTCACTAAGCCTCCGCCACTGTCCTTTATATCACTTTACCCCCCCCCCCCTCCCCTCCCCACCGAGTGACTTCTCAACTGATATTCACTTTGAATGTTCTGTATTCTGTGATCAGTTCTAGAACCTGATTGTCGCAGGAACAAAAGTTCTGATGTTTGATTCCTTCTCTGTGTTTGTTGGTGGAGCAGACAGATCATATTCACTATCTGTGGGGGAGATTTACTAAAACTGGACAGTACAAAATCTGGTGCAGCTCTGCATAGAAACCAATCAGCTTCCAGTTTTCTTGTTGAAGTTTAACTGAACAAGCTGAATTTAGAAGCTGATTGGCTGCCATGCACAGCTGCACCAGATTTTGCACTCTCCAGTTTTAGTAAATCTTCCCAATGTGTGTGTGCTGTCCACAGGGCTGGGACAAGGGGCAGCCCTGGGCATTGTGGTATCATGTGGGGGGGGGGGGGGGGGGTGCCTTGAAGAGATTGTGGGCAGTGGATTTGTGTTTGGAGTTATGAATTGTTCTAGGAGGGGAAATAGGGGGGGGGGGGGGTACTAGGAGTTGTGATTTGGGGGGATTTGTGTTGGGAGGAGAGATGGGGAAAGAGGCAGTGATGTCCCTAGGGTTGGTGTCACCCGGTGCGGTGATACTTGGTGACACCCCCTCCGACGATCCCCGCAGAATGGATCGGATCTGCAGACTGAGCATAATGGATCGGACTCTAATCCATTATGCTCAATCCGCAGATGCGATCCATCCTGCGGGGGATCGTTGACTTTCTTTACAACTTACCTTTTCTTGGAGCGGGTCCGGTGTCACCCCGTATAGGTTGCATACCAACGATCCCCGCAGGATTGTCGGCATGCAACCTATACGGGGTGATACCGGACCTGCTCCAAGAAAAGGTAAGTTGTAAAGAAAGCCGACGATCCCCGCAGGATGGATCGGATCCATCCTGCGGGGATCGTCAGCTGGCTTTACAACGTACCTTTTTGTGGAGCGGGTCACCCCGTTCGGTCGATGTCACCTGGTGTGGACCGCACCTGCCTTGGGACGCCTCTGGAAAGAGGGTTTGTGCTAGGAAGGGGGATTTGGGAGCTTTGTGCCAGAAGAGGTTGCAGAGTGGGGGGGGGGGGGATTTGTGCTAGGAGGGGAATTTTTTTTTTGGGTGGTGGGGATTTGTGCTAGCTGGGATGATTGGGGGTTTTTGTGCTTTGGGGGGGGGAGGGGTGGGCTAGGAGGGGGCATGGGGGGAATTTGTGCTGGGGGGCTAGAGTGGGGGGGGGGGTGGATGTGTACTGGGAGGGGAAACTTGAGGGGTAGAGGATTTGTGCTAGGAGAAGTGACTTTTTTGGGGGGGTTGGTTTGTACTGGGGGATTTGTGGAGAGATAATATTTTGAACTGGGGGGGGGGAGTGCAAAAATTTGTTCTAGGAGGTGGGATTTCAGCCAGGGGGGCAGGTTTGTCCTTGAAGGAGGGGGTGTATGCAGATATATAATAAAGTGCAGCGCTAATAATGAAGAAATATATAAAATGATCCAAATAAATGAGAAATACATAAATGATCCTCACTTAGACCTGCACAGACTGTCACTTTTGGATCACTTATATATTTCTCATTTATTTGGATCATTTTATATATTTATTCATTATTAGCGCTGCACTTTATTATATATTTACTATTTTGAGGGTTTTATTGGTTACCTTTAGTGCAATAGCTGCTACCCTTTGAAGCGCTTACTTTTATATTCCATTTTTTACTGGGTGTATGCAGATACTGACTCTCATTTCCAGAGATGTCCAGACAATTGGCTGGACATCTGGGGGTTGCGTTAGGTAGGTGCAGGGGGTTGCGTAGGTATGTTCTGCTCCTACCTGGCACTCTGTACCTGGGCTGTACACCTTCTGATGTGTACCCTGCATACAGTCTGAAGGGTTCTACTGTCAGACCTCATATCCTCCTCATTCCCACAATTCACAGATCTCTCCATGTCGCCCTTCAGGTTGTCTCTTCCAGGGCATCTCTCTCTCTCTCACTGACATCTCTGCACCATGCGGGAACGAGCCCTTGGGGCGAGAAGAATTCCGGCGGGTAATTTGAAAGTAGCAACTCTGAACCATATAGGCGTGTTCCATTATCAGCCAATAGGAACAATTATTTCCTGTAATATGAGTTCAAATTTGATCTGACATTGGAGCTCTAAGTCGAATGAAATAGTTTCAGTTTGAGGAATTTAGCGGTGAGTAGATGATCACATTGGAATGACAGCGATCAGAGGAGAATGATGGGCTGTGACATTTCCTGTAAAACAACTCACCTGTATTAGAAGTCTGAGTGTGATGAAGAAGACATGGGGCTGATTTGCTGAAGACAAACAGACTTTCCAAAGTGCAGTTGCTCCAGAGCTTAGTAAATGAGCCGAAGCTCTGATGACTCCCATCATCCAATCATGTGAAAGCAAATATGCTGTCTTTTTTTACTTTCCTTGTATGTGATTGGGTAGTCTATGCAAAATGAAGCTTTATCACATTTAATAAGCTTTGGAGCAAATGCACAAAGTATATGCAGCTGGCAGCTGTGGGTTCAGCCAGGACCGTGGATAAGGGGGTACCACTAGTCCACCTGTATGGGGCCCAGGCCAGCAAGGGGGCCCAGCTAAGTGACTCAGATGTGGGCAGGGATGGTGATCAGCACATTAAGGGGGCAACTACTGGAATCGATCCCCTGTATGACTCTCTCTCTGGAGCATCTGAAAGCTGTATTCTTCTCTCTCCCTCCTGCTGGTTTTCAGCTGCAGCAGAGAGAGCCATACAGGGGATTGGTTCCAGCAATTGCCCCCCCCCCACCCACTATGATGATCACCCTCACTGTGCACATCTGATTCACCCAGCTGCCTGGGCCCCCACAGTGCCGGCTTCCCTCCTCTCCTTCCCACTGGCAGCTGCAAGCACACAATAGGATCCTTCAGGATAGAGAGTGGGGGAAGGGGTCCAATAATTATGTCACATTAATCAGTCCCTTCCTTTCCTGAATGATCACAATGAATGGTTGCTACTGCTCCCTTACTGTGTTCATTCATAAGTGAAGTATGGTAAATTGTGTTTTTTTTTTTCTTTTTTTTTGAAGGGGGCCCTTTCAGGTTGGCTGTATGGGGCCCTGTGGTTTCTAACAGCAGCCCTAGGTTCAACTCCCACTGCGCTCCCACTCCAGCAGGTGGGGGGTTAACTGTGTTGTGTGACCCCTTCCACAAACAAAAAAGACAGAGAACTGGCATCTCCCCATGTTGTGCAATGTGCAGCAGCACACTTGGGGCCCCTGTATACACACCCATGGATGATACCCCACTACCTAAAGGTCATAAAAATTTATATATATATATATATATATATATAATTAAATTGGGCCTTTGACAGCTGTCATCTGGGGAGGAAGGGGTGTCTCATCCAATACTGCTGCTCCCCCTTCTCCTCCACATCACAAGATCTACACCTCTATATAAATCTTTGCCGCAGCTCTAGAGCTTGGATGTGGACGAGATTGGGGGGAGCAGCAGGGGGAGAGGATCAGATGAGACATCCCTTCCTCCCCAGATGACAGCTGTCAAGGGCCTGATGGTTACATAGTATAGATGTGGCTGGAAGCTGTGGGGTTCGGCAACCACTGAGCTCCACCTCCAGCAGGCATGGGTTAATTGTGATGTGTTGCCCCTTCCACAGAGAAAAAAGACAGAGAACTAGTGTCTCCCCATAATGTGCAATGTGTAAGGGGGTACAATGGGTTCCCACCCACCCCTCCCTTGGGGTCCCTGTACACCCACACATTGGACCCATGGATGATACCCAACTACCTAAAGGTCATAAAAGTTATTTTTTTTTAATCCAAGACTTTTTTTATTGAAAGAAAGAAAAGCAATGAACAATCATTCGGAGGTATACATGTAGTGTCATGCATCTAAAAAAAAACAGTTCAAATATACGAGAGCCCATTGCTGGGGATAACCAATGCCGTAACAACTGACATCTTGCAAAGTAAAAAAACATAAAACAAAACATAAAAAAAGAAAGGAAAAATAAACAACAACAACAGCAGGTGGGTACCTAAACCTTAGTCTAGGGATAAATTAGCTGTTATGTCTCACATTTGCAAAAGTCTATCCATTATTAATCTTGAAAGGGCCAATCCAGGTGCATCTAACCAGTTCTGCCAAATAAGCTGAAATATACGCAAAGCGTTACGGTAATGGTAGGCAAGTTGTTCCCTCAAGAGGAGAGAATTAACATATTCCACTCATTGTTTCTTAGAAGGCGTTATACTAGACAGCCAATATCTAGCTATCAGTTTTCTCGCCAGATACGAGAGACGAATAACCAATATATACGTTCTCGGGGAATATAATTCAGGATCTAGCACCCCCCAATAGACACACTAGTGGATCAGATGGAATGGGAATTTGGGTGAGGGAAGATACAATGCACAGAACTTCCTCTCAGTATCTTGTAAGTTTTGGGCATCTCCAAATCATGTGGATAAAGTTGCCTCTATGTACAGTACATTTAGGGCATAATGGCGTATCTCTCCTACCCCATTCAAACAATCTAACAGGTGTCCGGTACTCCCTGTGAAGGGTAAATACATTGCATCCAGAAAGTATTCCTAGCGCTTAACGTTTGCCACATTTTGTTATGTTACAGCCTTATTCCAAAATTTTTTTTTCCTCAACATTCTACAAACAATATTCCATAATGACAACATGAAAGAAGTTTGTTTTGAAATCTTTGCAATTTATTGAAAATAAAAAATGAAAAAAAAAAAACACATGTACATACAGTCATGGCCGAAATTGTTGGCACCCTTGATATTTCTCCAGGAAATCATGTATTTCTCACGAAACGTATTGCATTAACACATGTTTTGCTATACACATGTTTATTCCCTTTGTGTGTATTGGGACAAAACAAAAAA